CAGTAGGATGTTACAGACTATGGAAGTTGAAGTCCAAAACACCTGGAGGGCTGAAGTTTGCCCATGCCTGGTCTAGGCCCTGAAACCTCTGCCCTAAAGTATCTCTACACTGCAGAATGAATGCAGTTTGACACCACCTTAACTGCCATGGCTCAGTCCTAGTAGCTGTAGTTTTTACAGACCTTTAGCTTTCTGTGCCAGAAGGGTTAATGCACCACCAAACTGTAAATCCCAGGATTCCCTAGCATTGCACCATGGCAGTTAACGTGGTATCAAACAGTATTAATTCAACAGTATAGCTGCATCTCTAGAGGGATCTTAAAGGAGTGAATGTGAAACAGGGAACAGAAGAAAAGAGGAATTCTGTTTGGCAGGAATAAGAATTCTGCACTTGTGCTTTGTGGACTGTGCAAAGCATTGGAACACTGTATGTGCCAGGTTCAGTATAAAATAAGCAAAATTGCTGCTGTTTAATTACAAGTTTGATTTAATTCTGCAAATTGTTTACACCTTTGCTGTTTATATTTACAGTGTTTATTTCTAATTGGCTCCATAGATTCCAAGGAAGTGGTGTATAGGCTTTACTGACTTAGGCTATATCCACACTACATAATTATAGCAGTTTTACATCATGTTAACTGCCATGACTCAATGCTATGGAATTTTTGTGTAGTTTTGTGAGATGTTTACCTTTTTTTCTTCAGAGAGCCCTAGTGCCACAAAAAGCTGCATATTCCAGGATTCTACCCATGGAAGGTAAAGTGGTATTGGACAGCTGCAATTCTCCAATGTGGTTAGTCTTTTAGTCATTTTGTCTGAATTATAGAGTTGGAAGAGACCTCATGGGCCATCCAGTCAACCCCCTGCCAAGAAACAGGAAAATCGCATTCAAAGCACCCCTGACAGGTGGTTATTCAACCTCTGTTTGAAAGCCTCCAAAGAAGGAGCTTCCACTACACTCTGAGGCAGAGAGTTCCACTGCTGAACAGTTCTCACAGGAAGTTTTTCCTAATGTTCAGGTGGAATCTCCTTTCCTGTAGTTTGAAGCCATTGTTCCGCATCCTAATCTCCAGGGCAGCAGAAAGTCAAGGATGCTCTTCTCATTGAAAGACAATTGGCTCTTGGTACTCATAGATTTAGCCACTGACAGCTTGAAATTTTTTTAACAAACTTTCATGTAAGGGACACCATTTACTATGTCATTGTATATAACGAGACTTGTGTTTCCATGGATTTTGGTAACCATGGAAGGTCCTAGTACCAATTCCCAGCAAATATCACTTCTATCTTCCCATTTTTGCATTATAGCCCACTGTACCTTCTGCTATAATGCAAAACATGGGGATAATCTTAGTGTGTAAATGATACTCATTAACCTTACAAAAGACCATTCCTGGTGGTGGGAGATTGCTCAAAATAGTTTGTTGTTATGCATAGATATAACTCCCTGCACTATTAGGTCTCTGAAGAATGTCATAAGGAGCACCTGCATTTCAAAAGTTACCATTAAGCCACTGGGTTGTCTTTGTACTATGAGAGAAGATAATGGAAAACATGAAACCAAACCTTAGTGGAAACTTACTGCACATAGAACATGCTGCAAAGAATGGAGCCTTTTCTCCCAGGGCATGAAACTCCTGAGAGATCTAACCTCACTATGCCTGTCTGTACACAGCTTAATGGGTTTTCTGCCCCTAGTGCCAAAGATGTACAAAGCCAAGACGGCTTGGTGTATTTTCGTGAGGCTTTCTGTCTCTTTATCCAGCTGATGAAGCCTCCTCAAAAGTCCTTGAATCCGGTTTAATGAGAGCCCATCTACCTTTGTGAAGGAAAGAGGGAGCATTTCATTTATTGTAGAAGAAAGGGATGGGCACATAATACAATTCCTGCACTGCTCCAGGAGGCTTTTATTTTTTTTTTCTGGATGAAAAAATGTATTTTACAGATGCAGAAAAATACTTACACTGGAAGGACGTTGGAATAATTGACCTTCAGAGGTCCTTTTCAACTCCAATTCTATGACTCTCTTCTGTTATTATCATTCACATACTTTTTATGTTTTTTCAATTCTATCCCTTGTAATTTGGCCCAGACTGCTGTGCACATTTCTATTATTTTATTTCATTACCTGTGTTTGACTTTGTATTACCTTGTTTTGTCTACATTTTATTTCATGTTTATTATTTGCAGCATGTATTTTATTTTGATTTGTTGTAATTGTTGGGCTTGGCCTCATGTTAGCCGCTCCAAGTCCCCTTTGGGGAGATGGTGGTGGGATAATAATAATAATAATAATAATAATAATTATTATTATTATTAACACAACAAGATGAGTCCACAGCAGACACTCTGCTGGCTGTTGTATTAGATCATGCATCGGACACTTCCCAAGTGTCTAGGACTGTGTGATGTATCAGCGAATAATGCATGCAGATCCCAGTATGGTGGCCTTCTGCAGCTGGCAAATGGTAATATTGTCAGCGCTGATTGTGTTTAAGTGCAGGCCAAGGTCTTTAGGCACTGCATCCAGTGTGCCAATCATCATTGGGACCACCTTGACTGGTTTGTGCCAGACTCTTTGCAGTTTGAGCTTTATTTATTTATTTATTTATTTATTTACTGTCCTTGTATACCGCCGTTTCTCAGCCTAACTGGCGACTCAACGCGGTTTACAACAAAATATACAGTGCACAGTATACAATTAAAACCATAAAAAACATAATACACAATATTACACGTAAATCACAATCCAATAATAAATCCTCATATTGTGTCAGCTTTTCCAGTTGTTTCTCTTCAATCCTGCTGTCACCTGGGTTTGCAACATTGACAATCCATACTTTGTTTTTTAACATGATCATGAGGTCAGGAGTGAGGTGCTCCAAAACTCTGTCTGTCTGAATTCAGAAGTCCCAGAGGAGTTTGATGTGTTCATTTTCTGTAATTTTTTCCGGCTTGTGATCCCACCAGTTCTTTGTTGCAGGCAGATGGTATTTGCGGCACGACTTGTTATTATTATTATTATTGTTATTGTTATTATTATGTTATTGTTTGCCTTGAGGTCCTTTTTGACCTAGGGGTGCATCTACACAAGAGAATTAATGCATGCAGTTTGACACCCCTGTAGCTACCACAATTCACTACTATAGAATTATAGAAGTTGTAGTGGTACTCCAATGCTCAAACATAGGCTCCTATTTATTATTAGTTTTTACCAATCCATCAAAAAGCCCTGGAAACCTTCCCTTCCTCCAGGACTAAAAAAGAAAAAAAAAACCTTGGGTATATATATATCGGTCAATGGCCAGCAATGAAAAAACACAATATAGAATAAGGAAAACATAAAGTAAGGCAATAAAATGTCAGTATTTGAACTAGAGCAAAGAAACAATGTGAAATAGAAAAAGTTAAAAACCAATGTTGAATAAGCCTTTGACAACACAATGATAACACAATACTGTATTCTCAGGGCTCTTCCACTGAGGGCCCTTTCATACAGCCCTATATCCCAGAATATCAAGGCAGAAAATCCTACAATATTTGCTTTGAATTGGGGTATCTGAGTCCACACTCAGATAATGTGGGATTTCCTGCCTTGATATTCTGGGATATTAGGCTGTGTGGAAGGACTCACAATCATATAACTCAGATTATTGAGGCAGAAAATCGCCGAAGACCTTCAGAATATACAATATTTTCTTTTGGCAATGGGGGTTCTGTGTGGGAAGTTTGGCCCAATTCTATCATTGGTGGGGTTCAGAATACTCTTTGATTGTAGGTGAACTATAAATCCCAGCAACTACAACCCCTAGATGTCAAGGTCTGTTTTCCCCAAACTCCACCAGTGTTCATATTTGGACATATTGAGTGTTTGTGCCAAGTTTGGTCTAGATCAATCATTGTTTGAGTCCACAGTGCTGTCTGTATCTAGGTGAACTCCAACTCCCAAACTCAAAGTCAGTGCCCACCAAGCCCTTCTAACATTTTCTGTTGGTCATGGGAGTTCTGTGTGCCGAGTCTGGTTCAATTCCATTGTTGGTTGAGTTCAGAATGCTCTTTGATTGTAGACGAACTATAAATCCCAGCAACCACAACTCCCAAATGATGACATCAATCTCCCCCAAACCCACCAGTATTCAAATTTGGGCATATCGGGCATTTGTGCCAAATTTGGACCAGTCAATGAAAATCCATCCTGCACAGGCTCATAGCCAGGATTTTGATTTGCGGGTGGGGGCTGAGTTTGATTGGGGGTGCTGAGGTTGATTTTGGGGAGGGGGGCTGAGGATCTACCCTAGCAAACCTTTGGTATCATTATCCCAATACCCCCATGCCTATGGGATATATTGATCATGGTGATCAGATAATGATATGAATAAACACAACAGTTTAAATAATGTACCAGTAAGGCCTTCTCGCGGACCACCCTGAGAATTTCGGGGGGGGGGGCTGAAGCCCATCAAGCCCCCCCCCCCCCCCGGCTACATGCCTGATCCTGCATATCAGATATTTACATTCATAACAGCAGCAAAATTACAGTTATGAAGTAGCAACAAAAATAATGTTATGGTTGGGGGTCACCACAAATAAGGAACTGTATTAAGGGGTCAGGGCATCAGGTAGGTTGAGAACTACTGGTTTAACCCATTGCGCCACCGGGGGCTCCCCCATTCCTGGTTAAAGATAGTCATGCCTTTAATCCTTGCACACTAAGCAAGCTATTGCTGCTGCACGATGCGTAAAATGCCTCTGAGCATGTGCAGAATACCTTTCTCCCAAAACTTTTTTGTATTTTTTGTGAGCTAAAGAGGAGTCGGGAGTTGTAGTGCGGTGAAGCCCCTGCGCTCCTTGGGAAGAGAAGGAAGAAGGAGAAAGACCTGGTGGAAGGACAGCTCCCGGGGGGGGGGGGCTCCCTAGAGAGGCAGGAGTGGTGTCAAAGCGCATTAGCCCTGCAGACAGGGGCCCGGCGAGGCCGCGGGGCCTGGCTCCTCCTCCTCCTCCTCTTTTGCAGGTCCCTTTAAGAGCGCCTGCGCTGCCGGCCAGGTCGCTCTCTCGCAGACTCGGAGGAAGGAAAGGAGCAAGGAAGGGCGGGCGGGCTGCTTCTCTCTCTCCCTCTCTGCTCCTCTGGGGCCATGGCCATGGCTTCTCCGGCGGTGGGGCAGTTCCCCCCGTATCCGCCGCTGCTTCTGGACAAGGAGCAGCAGCGCTTCCTGCAGAGCCTCAGCGCCTCGGAGAGGAAGAAGCTCCGCAAGCGCTCCCTGCCCGCCGGCAATAGCGACCTCCTGCATCCGCAGCAGCAGCAGCAGAGGAGGAAGAAGAGGCAGGCCGGGGGGGGCATGGAGGGGGGCGAGGAAGAGGAGGACGAAGGAGAGGAAGGCGCCCAGGAGGAGCAGCAGCAGGAGGAGGAGCAGGAGGAGGAGGAGGAGGAGGGAGGGCAGGGGCGCAATGCGGAGCCGCCGCGGGGCGCCAACCTGCGCCTCATCCTCGAGCCTCCCGAGGAGCCCTCGCCCGCCAAGCCCGCCTCGCTCCCCTCTCACCCGCACCACCACCACCACCACCACCAGCGGCTCCGGCTGAAATGCGGGGCTCCCCGGCTACTCCCCGACGTGCGCACCATCTTCGAGCAGCCCCGGGACCCGCGCGTCCGGCCCGAGAAGGGCGAAGGGCACCGCTTCCAAGGCTTCGCCCTCGTCTGGCGCGGGTGGTGCGACCTGTGCGGGAGGGAGGTCCACCAGCGGGGCCTCCGCTGCGCCAGTAAGTGCGCCAAACAGGGGAGCCGGGGGGCGGGCGGGAAAGGGGCAACCCCGTGCAATGCAAGGACCGGCTCTTCCTGGAAAGTTTGGGTGCCCAGGCCCATTGGACACAACCTAAGGGGCTCCCCACACACACCCGCATCTGAAGTGCCCACCCCACTTCCCTCCTTGCCTCATATCTACTATTCCAGTGTTTCTCAACCTTCCTAACGCCCCTTAATACAGTTCCTCATGTTGTGGTGACCCCCAACCATAACATTATTTTTGCTGTTACTGTAGTTTTGCTACTGCTATGAATGGTCATGTAAATATGGATGTATTTTCATTCATAGGGCCTAATTTGGTACAAATACCCACCCAAATTTGAATACCGATGAGGTTGGGATTGATTTTGTCATTTGGGATTTGTAGTTGCTGGGGTTTATAGTTGTAGTTGCTGGGGTTTATAGTTAACCTTCAATCAAAGAGCATTCTGAACTCCACCAACGATGGAATTGGACCAAACTTGGCACACAGAACTCCCATGACCAACAGAAAATACTGGAAGGGTTTGGCAGGCAATTGACCTTGAGTTTTGGAGTTGTAGTTCATCTACACCCAGAGAGCACTGTGGACTCAAACAATTATGGATCTGAACCAAACTTGGCACAGATACTCAATATGCCCAAATGTGAAGTGAACACTGGTGGAGTTTGGGGGAAATAGACCTTGACATTTGGGAGTTGTAGTTACTGGGATTTATAGTTCACCTACAATCAAAGGGCATTCTGAATACCACCAATAATAGAATTGAGCCAAGTTTACCACACAGAACCCCTGTGACCAACAGAAACTACTGTTTTCTGTTGGTCTTTGGTGACCTCCACGGGGGTCCCAACCCCCAGGTTGAGAAACACTGTACTATTCCTTAGATCAGGCCTGGGCAAGCTTGGGCCCTCCTCCAGATGTTTTGGACTTCAACTCTCACCATTCCTAACAGCCTCAGGCCCCTTTCTTTCCCCCCTCAGCTGCTTAAGGGGGAAAAGGAAAGGGCCTGACGCTGTTAGGAATGGTGGAAGTCCAAAACATCTGGAGGGCTGAAGTTTTCCCATGCATTCCTTAGCTGCACCTCTTATGAAGCACCTCTTGTGCAGCAGCCCAAACCTATAGACTCCTAAGGCACAGAGGAGCATTTTAAGGGGGTGCTTCTTGATTCTTCCGTACTTGGGGGGTAAAGTTTAGCAACATGTTCACCACATGAGCCTCCCCTAGCAGAGCAGACACATTGAGAGACCACCAGTGTCTGGAAGCCTTCCTCCATGTGCCACTCATTCCTTTTAAAAGCTAGACACCCTGATAGAAAACAGGTAAGAGAAGCTTAAGCAGCCGAAGGGGGAAAGGAAAGGGCCTGAGGCTGTTAGGAATGATGGGAATTGAAGTCCAAAACATCTGGAGGGCTGAAGTTTGCCCATGCCTGCCTTATGCACCTCTTATGAAGCAGCCCAAGACATGGTCCTTCAGATACGCCTTATAAATTCTGTGCCTTGAGGCTTAGAAAACCTGTTTCTGGTTATCTCTGACTGTCCCCTTGGGCACTGGAATTGGGGCAGGGGTTCCTTGCACGTTCTGCCAACTCATTCTTGCAAGATCAGCTTGAGATACTATGCCCACCTACACACAGCAAGTGGTCCCACCCACATTTACCTCGGTTCCACATATCTCAGGAGCCCCCCCCCCCCCCACCACCACCACCACTGGTCCTCCTCCTAAACATACACACCTCCCTCAGGTGCTTCTCCACAGGCTTCAGGTGGTCCTCCTCTGTACACCTCAGGCGCTCTGCTCTTGTAAAGGCTTCAGATTTGCCCTACCCCCATCCCTCAGGCCCCACATACCTCAGGTTCTCCCCCATTGCACCTCAGGTATCCTGCCTCAAGTTTTCTCTACATATCTTAGGTGACATCCCTTTCACATCTCTGGTACCCCCACACCTATCTCAGCCCCCCCCCCCCCTGAGTGTAACCTCAACTGCTGTCCTTCACATATGTCTAGGTGATCCTAAGATGCCCCAGGCCCTGTCTACATTTTGGTTTCTCCTACACATACCTCAGGTGCCTCCCCCCAACACATGTACATCTCAGGTCCTCCTCTTTACACTTCAGGTTTTGGAAAGGCATAACCTTTTGGAAAAAGGATGACCTTGGAGATCATAATTTTTTTGAAAACCAGAATTTCTAAAGCCTTTGGATGCATGACTGTTTGGAAATTAATTGGGATTCACTACCATTTGGAAAATCATAACCCTTTTGTAAAGTATGATCTTCCAGAGAAGAGCCAAAAACTTGTTTAAGTCAATCTTCTCTTGGGTGGTATATAACCACTAGTATTCATGCAAGGCCAATTGGGTTTCTCAACTGTTAGACTGATATACCTTGATATATCTCTGAACTGTTAGGAACAAAGATTATGCCAAAGCACAAAATATATAGAATATCTTCAGAAGTGTTATTTCAGCTGCCCAAAAACACCAACTCTCCCTTAAAACATCTGGGTTTGAACTGTTAGGAACAAAGATATACCAATGCACAAAATCTATAGCAGATCTTCAGAAGTGTTATTTCAATTGCCCAAAAAACTACTCTACCATAAAATATATTTGATTTTAAATTATGCTTCAAGAGATACAAATAAGTAGTCATTGTTTGAAAAATAACATAGTTGGTTTACTTACAACATTAATGTATTCAGCATATGAGTACATTGCTTATCAGTTGAAAGTTTAAACAATAAGTTCTCTGTTGCAGTCTCTTCTCTGTCTTATGTCTAATGCATAACGAACACTGACTATACAATACAATAAAAGACTGGGGTCTCAATCTGAATAGTCCCAGAACTGATCACATGGTCTGCAGTCCCTCCCACAGCCTCAAACAACATAGAGTTAAGGGAAACTGCATATCAAATCATACATATACAATATATTAAGCAATCTAATATATATATATATATATATATATATATATATATATATATATATATATGAATGACAAATAACTCGTACAGGAGGCTTGTAGAAGGTTGCTATTTCCAACACCAGGGGCCCTCTCCCATGTTTCTCAGATCCCACAGGTTCTCCCCCTATACACCTCAGGTGCCCTCTCCATACGCTTCAGGTGCTCTCCACTCACACCTCAGATACTGTCCCCTCCCCTGACAGACGCACACCTCAGGTGCCCTTCCACACTATCTCAGGTGTCCCTCCCCATTCTGCATCATGCTGTCATCTCACCTTGACTGCCTCAGGATGCATCAACACTGTTGAATTAATCCATTTTGACACCACTTTTGCTGCCATGGATCAATGCTGCGGAATACAGGGAGTTGCACTTTTACAAGGTCTTTAGGCTTCTCTGCCAAAGAGTGCTGGCGCCTCACCAAACTACAAATCTCAGGATTCCATAGCATTGAGCCATGGCAGTCAAAGTAGTGTCAAACTGCATTCATTCTACAGGGTAGATGTATATCTTCCCCTCTCACCTGGTCTTTCTCTAGGTTTCTACCTCACCCCCTTTAAGGCCTTAGCTAGTGATTCTGCCACTTCTTTTTCTACCTTCAGTTTACAGGTGGAGTCTCATTTTTTTTAAAGGTCTAACTTTGCAGCCAAGTCTTGCTGGTGCCAATTCCACCCCTCTGTCCTGATTGGCCAGAAAGTCTCCTTTGTACCAGATTAGAGATACACCTTTTTTTAAAGAAAAAAAGTCACTTAATTTATTGCTCAGGGCTGTTAGTAAGTGGTACAACTGGGTTGCAGTCGACCTGCATTCCCATTAAAGCACTCAGAAATCCTGGAGGAGAGGCTGGGCTGTTTTATGGGAAGGCAGGGCATGAACTGATTTATGCTTGTGAAGGAAAAGCTCACATGCTTTTTAAAAATTTCATGAGGTGCAGTCGGAATTGCCTTCGATTCAAATTTGCACGTTGAGAATTTTGGCTGACTTTGATCCGCACTTTACAAATAGGCTTACATTTCCTCTGGTCTCTGGGGTTTGCACTGATTGATGGGTGGGAGTTTCAATGTTTATATTTGACGATTCTGCAGTTTCTCTTTCCTCCTGTAATCTGCATTTTGTTTACTTAAAATGCTTGACCCTTTGCACTTTGCCATGTGTCCAGTGCTCTGTCTCATGTTAGAAAGAAGACTGTGGGTGCATGTACACAATAGAGTGAGTGCAGAAGGACAACACATTAACTATGGCTCACTGTCATGGAATCATGGGAACTGTAGTTTTACAAAGTCTTCAGACTTCCCTGCCAAATAGCAACATTGGCATCATCAAACTACAAATCCCAGGATTCCATAGCATTGAACCATGGCAGTTAAAGTGGTGTCAGATTGCATTAATTCTACAGGGTAGATGCACCTGATGTTACCAGGCTTCCGGATTGATCTGCCTGCTTTTTATGCTAAGGAATATTGGGGCCAAATCTAATTTTAGTCATATGTAAACTCTGTGAAATGAATAGGATTGATTAGTCAGCATTAACCTGTGTGCCACAATAACCACAGGGGACTTGGAGGGACTTGGGGCAGATTACAGAAGGCACAAGGTGCCTAAAAACAGAACATAAAATGAAAACAAATTAAAAATGCAATTAAATACAATATACGGGCATATAAAACTTCAACTAACACTCAGTTAAAAACAGTGTTCATCAACAAATGGCAGTAAACTACTAAACACGTGGCCAGGCAATAAACAAATGAACTGGGAATGGGATAAGTACAAAACTAGCCATGGGAAGAGGGCATGGGAAAAAGTGCAAGGCTGCATAACAATAGTGTAGATAACTAAGGACTAGGCATTCTCAAAGTCTTCTGTGAAGAGCCAGGTCTTCAGGTCCCTACAGAAGGAGGAGAATGTGGGAGCCTGCCTAATCTCTGTGGGGAGGGAATTCCAGAGCCAGGGGCCACCACTGAGCAGGCTCTCTCCCTCATTCCTACCAATCACGCTTGAGATAGTG